CCCCCCCGATGCTCTAAGGATTAAAGGGTTTGTAGTCAGATCAGGGGGAGACAGGCCTTGCGGACAGAGTGAGCTTCTGCCCTGGGCATTGTGTCCTCTACTGTCCTCTAACACACAGGCTTCACAGCCAGACTACAAGCTTGTACAATGTAACTCTTGCCCTCATAAAAATGAATTAATTGCCCACATTTGAGAGACCATTTCATAGGTAAAGAACCAAATTTTTTTTTTTTTTTGGTCTTTTTGAGACAGGGTCTTCCTGTAGCCCCAGCTGTCCTGGAATTCACTATGTAGACCAGGCTGGCCTTGAACTCACAGAGATCCGCCTGTCTCTGCCTCCCAAGTGCTGAAATTAAAGGCATGCGCCACCACGCCCGGCCCAAATTTTTAAAAAAATATTATTTTTCATTTTTATTTTATGTGTAGGAGTGTTTTGCCTGCATGTGTGTCAATGCACCATGTTGTGCAATGCCTGCAGAGGTCAGATGAGGGCATCAGATCCCTGGAACTGGAGCTATGGATGGTTGTTAGCTACCATGTGGGTGCTGGGAATCAAACCTGGGACCTCTGTAAGAGCAGTCTGTGCTCTTAACCACTGAGCCACCACTCCAGTCCCAAGAACCTGAATTTTTATCTCTTCCTGCAAAACTATAAACTCTGGCACAAGTGGCCAGAGCTGCAGATGGGGCAACTGCTCGGGTGGACTTAGCCTGTTTCTGTCACACCTTATTGCACACATTTTATTAACTGAGCTAAAGAATCCCCAGCATAGCCCTCAGTAACTAGTTTGTACTGGGAATGTCAAGGACAGGAGGGTGGGAAGCAAATGCTGGGAAATTTGCTTAGTTTGCTTAGAAAGCTGAACCTAAGGGATATGGACTTCAGGAGCATAGACTTCCTTAGTGTGGGTGCCTGTGTTCAGGAATGGGGAGAGGTGGACATCTGTGTATGGGCCCTTCTCCCCTGCAGATGTTCATCATCGACAAGGTAGATGGGGATGCCTGCTCCCTGAATGAGTTCGCCATCACTGGCTCCACTTATGCTCCTGAAGGAGAGGTGTAAGTTACCCATGGGCCTTCTTCACACCTTATGTATACCTCCACCTCTCTCCCTGAGACTCTCCTGCTAGTTTTCCCTTCTTTCTCTCCCTTTCTTTCCCAACCTTATTCTTTCTCCCACCCAAATTCCATCTCCAAATCCACTGCCATCTCCTGACACCTTCTGATGCCTGCTCTCTGCTTCTCTGTATCCTCTGTGGGTCTCATGCCCTGTTCTTCTCCACTCTTTCTCTCCTGTCTACCTCCCTACCCTGTTGCCAGCTTGAAGAATGATAAGCCAATCCGGGCAGGGCAGTATGATGGGCTAGTGGAACTGGCCACCATCTGTGCCCTCTGCAATGACTCGTCCTTGGACTTTAACGAGGTAACCGCTCACTCCCAAAACCCCCCTTCTGTTCCAGTTGGCTCAGAGTCTGCTTCCAGGAGGCAGGGAAACAGGCAAGAGTGCAAGGGATGGAAGCATTTGGGTTCCTTCTTGTCCCATCTAAAAGAAGGTGGGTGTGTTGGGTGAGGACAAGGGGCGGGGGGGTCCAGGCACATACCTCTTCCTCCTCTGTCCATTGCAGTCCAAAGGTGTCTATGAGAAAGTTGGTGAGGCCACAGAGACAGCCCTCACTACCTTGGTGGAAAAGATGAATGTGTTCAACACTGAAGTGAGAAGCCTCTCAAAGGTGGAGAGGGCCAATGCCTGCAACTCGGTGAGTTGGGATGCCCTCCACGGGCCCTCATCTAAGGTCCAGACACACCCAGACAGACAAAGGCTTGTGTCCATGCTGGGACCCCAACTAGAACAAGCAGTGGCTACCCACAGTTTTTCTGGGCCAAGCTGGCCTCTGGTGGAACCCACTGTCCCTGTATTACGTGGATTCTGTTGTCTGGCCACAGTGCCCTGGGAGGTCACTTCTTTTGTGTCCCAAGTTGGAGAGACAGTGCTAGACAGAAATCACAGAGGAACCTGAGTTGGCCTTGAGTTTAGCCATGATACCTTGGTTTTGATCAGATCTTGAGCTATGTAGCCAGTGCTCCCACACAAGGAGGCTTGCTTTATCCAGGTGAATAAGGCCAGATCTCTTCTACACACTGGGCTATTGCTGTGAATATTTGCCAGTTTCTATTTCGGGTTTCTGAGCAGTATGTTTCTTACATTTTTCTTTCTTGCCATCCTCCTGCCTCAGTCTCCTAAGCGCTAGAGGTGTGCACCACCATGGCTGGCTTTCCTACATCTCTTTCTGTACTTCTTCATGAAGTGTTAGGGAATCGAACCCAGGAACTCAAGTGTGCTAGGCAAATTTTTCTTTTTTTGTATGTGCAAGATACTCAACTGTGATCAATTTATTTGTGTGTGTGTGTGTGTGTGTGTGTGTGTGTATGTGTGTGTGTGAGAGAGAGATGTCTAGTAGAGGATTGTGTGTATGCCATGGTGCACATGCAGAGGTCAGAGGATAACTTAGGCATTGGTTCTCTTCTTCTACCATGAGTTCCTGGGATCAAACGCAGGCTTGCATGATCATCGAGTACACCGAACCATCTCATCAGCTCTGTTTTCTTTAATATAACAAAAAAAAGTGAAGGAAGGATTGTACTTTTTTCCCGGTGTTAGGCCTCACGCATGCTAGGAAGGTGTCCTTGCCGTGGAGCCACATCCCTAGGCCTTGTTATTTTTAGTTTTGTTTTGTTCTGTGTTTGTGCGCTTTTTATGTTGATACTAGGGATTGACCCCCTGGCCTCTCATGTGCTAGGTAGGTGTTCTATCACTAAGCTACATCCTCACTCCCCTTTGCAATGTATTTGGTAAGTAAAGGTTCTCACTCTGGCTTTCATTTTGTTTTGAGACAAAGTCTTGCTATCCCAGACTGACTTGAACCCATGGCAATCCTCCTGCCTTAAACTTTTGAGTGCTGTCACCATGCTTGGTTGAAGGCTTTTTTTGCCACCATACGTGGCTCTTATTCTTTTTCGCTGTGTGCTAGGCACTAGGCCTATAATGCCTAATAATGCATATGGCTATTTACATTCATACTAATTAAAATTAAATAGAGGTTTCTGGGAAGTAGAGGCAGGAGGGTTACCTGTCTCAAAAAAAGAGCTTCTTTGGTTACACTGGCCATGTTTCCCACTGACACTATCTTAGTGCAGACTATATGTTTCTGGTCACTGAAGGCCACCTTGTTTCCATTATGCTTTAAACCGGACACTTGAACTGGGGGTCTAGCTCAGTGGTAAAACACTTGCCTAGCATGCCGTGAGGTGCTGAGTTCCATTCTCAGTACCACAGGAACGTTTAAAACTCAAATGGCCAACACTCAACATGGAAGCACTGTGGCAGCATTAGCCTTGGAATTCTCTCCATGTGTCCATGGGTACCAGGTTTAGTGTTAGGCTCAGCCTCAGCATGGGCTGTACTCTGATCTCTAGATCCTTTTGGATTGTTTTAAAGGGATCTGGTTTCTCCCTTCCAGGTGATCCGTCAACTAATGAAGAAGGAATTCACCTTGGAATTCTCCCGAGACAGAAAGTCTATGTCTGTTTATTGCTCCCCAGCCAAGTCTTCCCGGGCTGCTGTGGGCAACAAGATGTTTGTCAAGGTCAGAAACTAGAATGACCTCTCTTTCTTCTTCCTAATCTTGGAGCCCTTTCCTGTGCCTGCCCTTCCACTGAACCCTGTAAGGCAGGTATGGGTCTCTGAATGTTGTCCTGGTCTTCTAGGGTGCCCCTGAGGGGGTTATTGACCGCTGTAACTATGTGCGTGTCGGCACCACCCGAGTACCATTGACAGGTCCTGTGAAGGAGAAGATCATGTCAGTGATCAAGGAGTGGGGTACTGGGCGGGACACCCTGCGCTGCCTGGCCCTGGCCACCCGGGACACACCCCCAAAGAAGGAAGAGATGGTCCTGGATGACTCAGCCAAGTTCATGGAGTATGAGGTGAGCCAGTGGAGCCTCCTGTTGCCCTGGGAGTTGTGGCAAGGGAGCTTTCCTTATGCCTGCCACCATGCTGGTCACTCCCTACTGTGTCAAGTCAATGGCTGTGTAGTATGAATCCCAGAATCACAGGGTATTAGGATTTGAGTTTTAGGAATCATCTAATCCAGCTGGGTTTGGTATGTCAGCACGCAGGAGACTGGGGTAGGAGGTTCATGGGTTCAGTACTAGCCCGAAGTACAGAGCAAGACCCTGTTTCCAAAACAACCACCCAAGCAAAAAGCAAGAAAAGATCATTTGGTCCAGTGCTCCTTTTATTTGTGGTGCTAGGGATGGAATCCAAGGCATGCAGAACTGTGCTGTGCCCCAGCTACACCTGCAGCCACAGAGCTACATTAGCTGTGACCTATGAACTGATGAGACTGTACATCAGAAGGGAAATCAATGTCACAACACAGTGGGTGAGCTTGTCTTGAGGCAATTGATGTACATTCTGATACAGGCATCCAACTAGCTGTGGACTCTGAACAGCACCAAAAGTCCATGCCTGCATTTATAGAGGGGACACTATGGCCCGACAGACCACACTAACATCTAGCTTGTGATTTTTTTTTTTTTTTTTAAAGACGGGGTTTTGTTATGTGGCCTAGGCTGGCTCTGAACTCATACTTAGGCTCTTCCTCACCTCCCGAGTGCTAGCATCACAGGCGTGCCCACCACACCTACCTTCTGCTCTCTTCTTTCTACAGCAGGCCTGACACTGCCAGGATCTGCAGGCATGTAAGGAGCAAGAAATATTTCCTGGCCCTGTGCTTCCAGGGCCCTGCTGATGTCTAACAGCAGACCCTGAGGCAGCAGGCCCCAGTTTCCTTGATCTTACTATTCATCTTCCCCTGAACTCCCTTCCTGACTTGTCACCGTCTTCTGTCTCTCCAGATGGACCTGACATTCGTTGGTGTTGTGGGCATGTTGGATCCACCTCGCAAGGAGGTCACAGGCTCTATCCAGCTGTGCCGTGATGCTGGGATCCGGGTGATCATGATCACTGGGGATAACAAGGGCACAGCCATTGCCATCTGCCGACGAATTGGCATCTTTTCAGAGAACGAAGAAGTGACAGATCGTGCCTACACTGGCCGAGAGTTCGATGACCTGCCCCTGGCTGAGCAGCGGGAGGCCTGCAGACGTGCCTGCTGCTTTGCCCGTGTGGAGCCCTCACACAAATCCAAGATTGTGGAGTTCCTGCAGTCCTTTGATGAGATCACAGCCATGGTGAGAAGTCCAGTGGGCTCCCTGGCCAGTGCTGAATGTCTCCATGCATGACATGCACAGAGGGTTCAGTCTCTGCAGTCTGGGAAGGGGGAGTATAAGGAGCCCTGAGTTCCCACTTTCTCCTTCTGTCCTCAGACAGGGGATGGTGTCAATGATGCCCCTGCCCTGAAGAAGGCTGAGATCGGCATTGCCATGGGATCTGGTACGGCTGTGGCCAAGACAGCCTCCGAGATGGTGCTGGCTGATGACAACTTCTCCACTATTGTGGCTGCTGTGGAGGAAGGCCGTGCCATCTACAACAACATGAAGCAGTTCATCCGCTACCTCATTTCCTCCAACGTAGGCGAGGTGGTCTGGTAAGCAGCCAAGGCAGACATCCAGAAAAAGCCAGGGCTGGGAGGGGATGACCATGGGACTGTGGGGCAGGACCAACATAGGTCCTCCTTCCTCTGGCAGTATCTTCCTGACCGCTGCCTTGGGACTGCCTGAGGCCCTGATCCCCGTGCAGCTGCTGTGGGTGAACTTGGTAACTGATGGGCTCCCTGCTACCGCTCTGGGCTTCAACCCACCTGACCTGGACATCATGGACCGGCCCCCCCGGAGTCCCAAAGAGCCCCTTATCAGTGGCTGGCTCTTTTTCCGCTACATGGCAATTGGGGGTAAGCAAGGAGGAACTCAACAACCTTCCTGGAAGCCCTTGGGATTGACACCTTCCCTGGGATACTGGATTCTCCCAATGCAAGCTGCTCAAAGGGGACTTTTCTTTCGCCAGCTGTCTCCAGCTGTGTAAGACCCTCCTGATGCCTCTTGTTTCCCCAGCCCTGACTCTAGCTCCTCTCTTCTCCCCACCACAGGCTACGTGGGCGCAGCTACTGTGGGAGCAGCTGCCTGGTGGTTCCTGTATGCAGAGGATGGGCCTCATGTCAACTACAGCCAACTGGTAGGGGAGGGTGGAGAGGGGAGCACTGGGAGGGTGTCAAGGTTTCTGTGGGAGCTTAGGCTTCTGACTCTTCCTCTGTAGACTCACTTCATGCAGTGTTCTGAGGACAATCCTGACTTTGATGGTCTGGACTGTGAGGTCTTTGAGGCCCCTGAGCCCATGACCATGGCCTTGTCTGTGCTGGTGACCATTGAGATGTGCAATGCTCTAAACAGGTAGGGCCTGCCCACCTGGGCCTTGTTGCCTGTTCTTGAGGTTATCCCCTTGCCCTCTACCTCCCTCCTTTCCCCTCACCATGTCTTTCTCTTTGTGTCCCCATCCCTTGGCTCTGCCTGGCCTGTGCTATAGCCTGTCTGAGAACCAGTCTCTGCTGCGGATGCCACCCTGGGTGAACATCTGGCTGCTGGGCTCCATCTGCCTGTCCATGTCCCTCCACTTCCTCATCCTTTATGTTGACCCCCTACCGGTGAGCCTTCTGACATCACTGGTTCCCCACCCCAGGGAGCCTGTGTATGGCCTATGGCCACAGAGATGCTGACAGGGAAGGGAGGTGGGACAGGTCAGGGTAGTGCAAGGTGCTCTGGTTTCTTCCCTCTCCTGAGAGAACACTTGTCTTTCCTGATGGCTGCTGTCCCCGCCTCAGATGATCTTCAAGCTCCGGGCCCTGGACTTTACCCAGTGGTTTATGGTCCTCAAGATCTCACTTCCAGTCATCGGGCTGGACGAGATTCTCAAGTTTGTTGCTCGGAATTATCTGGAAGGTAAGGGGCGCACCCCTCCTCTGACTCCTTGCAACCCTAGCACTGAGCACAGCCCCTGCTCTCTGCACCAAGAATGTGTGCCATACCCCACACTCCCCTTCCTTTGCAGGTGGGTAAGTTCTTCTTGGCCCTGGCAGGACCAGTGTCCCCAGAGAGGGGCAGCCCAAGCCCTGTCCCCACTCCAGCTGTGACTGGTGGGGTCCTTCCCCAGTCTGCTCCTCAGCCCTCTGGCCCTACAGGCCCCCTCCCCCTTGATAACGGCCTCTCTCTATCCTCTCTGGCCATAGGATAACTGCCCCCCTCCTACATGTCTTTGAACCGTGTCACAGGTATTTCCCTTCCCACCCTGCCCCAGCTGCTGTGCCCTGCCGCTCGCCCACCAGCCCATGCGCACCCCTGCGGTCACTTGCGCTCGCGGCTCCCTCCTGGAGCCACTGCCGCTGTTGCCACTGCCTGCTTCCACATGAGGGCTGCACCCTCACTGTGGGGGCTGGCCACTGACAGACCACGTCCTTCCTGCCTTGGGCATCCTGGCCTCCCAGTCTGCTGGGCTGCGCTGCGTTGTTGCGCTAGCTGGCGCTGGCTGTCTCTGCTGCTGGGGCTGTGGTGGCTGGGGGTGGGCTGGGGTCTGGCATACAGGTGAGTAGGGAAGAAGGGGGTGTATGACCCTCCAGGTGAGTGTGCTGGAGATGCACAGGAAGATAGATGCACCTCTCCCTCCTGTGCCCACCAGCTCCATCTCCTCCCTTTCTTCTTTCAGATCCAGAAGATGAAAGAAGAAAGTAACCAGCCCTTTCACCCCTTCTTCCCCACCCTGACAGCAACGCATCTTCAGCCAGAGCTGTGGCACAGACCCTTCCCACCCCCATTCTGTTTATAAACCAAGTTCTCTGCCCCTCTGTCCTCCTTCAGCAACCTGCCCTCCCTCTGAACCTTGTAAATCCCCTTCCCAACCCTGTGGGGCTTGCAGGGACAAGGCGACTGAGCTGAGCTGCTTATTTATTGAAAATAAATGACAAAATAAATGAGCCTTGCCTCATGTGTCTTGGGGCCTATACCAGGCACCTGTGGACAAATATCTTAGTGTCATTCAATCCAGAAAGCAGCTGCCTACCCTAAGGCCCTTGTGTAAGAAACCCACTGCTGCCAATAGCTTCTAGCCACCACACACTGGACTGTGCCTCAGGACTGGACTAGCTGTCAATTGGAGGTGGCAAGGTGGGAGGGCTGAATCTATGAGGCAGCACAGCAGTCTGGAAGTTACAGGCTCAGCCTGCACCTTCAGTTCTGGGAGGGGGCTGGGTCCTCACCCAGGTGTCATCCCTGAGAACAGAAGGCCCAGCCACCTTGATTAGAAGTGCTGGCCATCTAGGTTTGGAATGGGTAGGCTCCATCCTGAGGCCTTACAGTCCCCACCTCACAGTTATGGTGCAGAAGGGCCAGCTTTTCCAGCAAGAGGGAGCACGGCTGGGGTGCCTCCTCGAGGGGCCCCTCAGGAGTCCTTTATGTCCCTAATGTCCCTGAGAGGTGCCTCATCCAAGATGCTATGCACTTGCTCTAGAGTCTCTGCTTGGCGGATCCGCTCCAGGCGTACCTGAAAGATTGGGTGGGGACATGGAGAGCCCTGATGGGGAAAGCCTCTACCACACCAGTCAGCCCGTCAGGGCAGTGTCTGCAGACGCAGTCCATACTGAGTTGGGGTCAAGGGAAGGAAGGGGTCCCAGGAGTTTGGCCTCAGAAAGTTTGGGTGTAGCTGGCCAGTGGTGGGGCTGACAGCACAAAGCAGCCATGCGACTGAGATGCACACAAAAGAGCTTCCAATTTCGGGGAGCAATAGCTCAGGGGGAAGACCATGCCAGGCCTAGAAGGAAAAGGACTCCCTTAATTGGGGATTGTCCTTGCAAGACCCAGATCAGGTCTCCCAAAGAAGACCAGTCAGGTGGGAAGGGCCTGGCCATACCTGCAGGGCCTGGGACAGCCGTACAAAGTCCCTCTGCACCTGTTCACTGGTCTCTAGCTCAGCCTGTAGCCGAAGTGCTTTGGCCCTCTGTTCGGAGAGGAGGTCTGTAAGCTGGGCCTGTGGGGACAGGACATGGAGCTGTGACCTGGCTAATCTTGGGCTAGGTGGGAGGATGGATTACCACAGCTGTGGGATGACCCACATTGGTGCCCCTTTTATGCCACCCAACTCTGATCTCCTCTGGCTGGCAGGAGCCAGGTGGTTGTTGCAGGGCTTCCTCCCATCTGGTCTGAAGAAGACAGGAAGAGTGTGAGGGGGCCTTCAGGGCCATCAGCATACAGCTGTGTCACCCAAGCTAAGGCACACGATGCTGCTCACCTTGCTCTGCTCCTGCTGGACTCGTTCCATCTCTATCCTCAGGCTGCACAGGGAGGCTGGGAAGTCAAGTCGCAAGGAGACTGGAAGTCAGGCCCACACGGTTCCAGCCCCACTGGTCTAGCCCTCTACAGGGTAATGGCCCCTACTCACCCTCTAGGACCTCTGTGGGAGGAAAAGAGAGAGGTCAAGGGTGGCTCTCCATTGCATGGCCATGCCTGACACAGGGGACCCTGTGGGCAGGCACCCCGAGAGTGGGTAGGGAGCTTACCCCTCTTTTCTCACCTGTCTCCTCACGCTGGACCCTCAGCTGTCCCTCCAGGCTAGCTCTGGCTGCTGTTTCCTCTTCCAGTGCCTCCCGCAGCTTCACGATCTCAATGCGCAGGCGCTCGGCCTCATGTTCCTGTGCCTGTTGCCTGGCCTGTGCCTGCTGCTGAGTGCGCTGTACCAGCTGTTGCAACTCCTGCAAGATACAAGGGGCCTGCTAGGCACTGGGCAGAAGAGAAGGCAGGGGCCAGGGGGAACACTGCCCAGATAATAGAAGGAGAGAGGGGGTTAGGAAGGAGTTAAAACAGCAAAGAACTCAAATGCCATGGCTGAGAAGCACACAGTGGATTTGCAGTGGGAGTGAAGGAACCCAAAGCCATGCCTGCAGCACAGCATGGAGGACCGGAGGAGAACGGAGAAGGGCTGCATAGATGGCTCAGCAGTTAAGAGTGCATACTGCTCCTGCAGAAAACCTGAGTTCCGTTTCTAGCACCCACATGGGGTGGCTCACAAGTGACTGTGACTCCAATTCCAGAGGATCCAACACCTCTATCCTCCACGGGCACCTGTACTCCCACACACATACCCATATATAGCTTAAAAAATACATCTTTTTTAAAGAAGGGCCAGGTGTGGTTGTACACATCTTTAATCTCAGGACTTGGGAGGCATAGGCAGGCAAAGCTCTGTGAAACTGAGGCCGGTTTGTTCTACATAGAGAGCTCCAGGTCAGCCTGGGGCTACAGGAGACCTTTCTCAAAAGGACAAACAAAACAAAGCTGGTGTGGTGATATACACCCTTAAATTCATTGCTTGGGAGGCAGAGGTAGGCAGATCTCTGCTGAGTTTGAGCATAACTTGATCTACATAGAGAACTCCTGACCAGGACTACATAAGGCCCTGTCTCAAAAGAAAAGCAGGTAAGAAAGCAAGGAACACAGGGTTGCCCTGAAGTGGATGAAATTATAATCTCCAAGGTAGAGAGAGGTTCTAGGTAATCTTTTAACCTACTAGTAAATATTAAATTAAAATCAACAAAGGCCATTAAGGAGGATGGGTTCAAAGATTCTGAGGGGCTCAGTCTTACGGATCTACTGTCACTTAAAACCAGCCAAAAGTAAAGCCAGGCGTGGTGGTGCATGTCTTCAATCCCAGCACTTGGGAGGCAAAGGCAGGCAGGTCTCTGTGAGTTCAAGGCCAGCCTGGGCTGCACAGTGAGATCTTGTTTAAAAAAACAAAAACAAAAAACAAATCAACGGCTTGGGGCTGGAGAGATGGCTTAGCAATTAAGAGCATTGGCTACTCTTACAAAAGACCTGGGTTCAGTTTCCAGTACTCACATGGCAGGTAACAACCATTCCTAACTCTAGTTCTAGGGGAATCCAACTCCCCCTTCTGACCTCCATGGGCATAGCACGACTATATAAAAATAAATAAAAATAGGGGCTGGAGAGATGGCTCAGTGGTTAAGAACACTGGCTGTTCTTACAGAAGACCGGTTCGAATCTCAGTACCCACATGGCAGCTAACAACTGTCCGTAACTCCAGTTCCAGGGGATCCAACAGCCTCCCTCCTTTGTCCTTCTCAGGTATTGCACGGCATGGGTGCACTTACGTACATGTAGTACACATACACATAAAATAAAAAAAAATAAAAATTTTTTTTTTTGATCTTTTCGAGACAGGGTCTCCCTGTAGCCCCAGCTGTCCTGGATTCACTATGGAGACCAGGCTGGCCTCGAACTCACAGAGATCCGCTCGCCTCTACCTCCCGGGTGCTGGGATTAAAGGCGTGCACCACCACGGCAAAAAATAAAATATTAAAAAAAAAAGTTATTTATGGGCCCGGGCTTGCTGGCGCATGCCTTTAATCCCACCTCTCAGGAGGCAGAGGCAGGTGGATCTCTGTGAGTTCGAGGCCAGACTGGTCTACATAGTGAGTTCCAGGACAGCTGGGGCTACAGGGAGACCCTGTCTCAAAAAGGCCAAAAACAAAAAAAAAGTTATTTATCAAATAAATAAATAAATTATTCTAAAAAATCAAGGGCTCAGAGTGTGGTTCATGGGTAGACTGCTTGTTAGTGTGCTGAAGACCGAGGTTCAACTGCCAGCAGTGGGAAGAGTGTTGGTAGCATGGGACATGTAAAAATGGCAAAGGAAACCACTATTCCCTTCACTAATGTCCAAAACCTTTTAACTCTTTCTCTTTATGCCAACCCTGGGGAGATGCTATGCTCCCATATACCAGATGAGGAAACTGAGCCTTAGAAAAGTAAAGTGAGTTGGTCAAGGTGACACGGCTAATACATGAGAGCCAGGTTCTGTCCCCTAGGCTCAACTATGGCTCCTGACAGCAGTTCTGCTCTGCCTAGGGTGGCCCTAGGCTGCTGGTGCCACTTACCTGCACAGAGTTGGGCAGTGCCTCGTCCTCGACCTTGTGCTGCTGGGGGCCCTGGATCGCTGGTAGCTGCTCTGCCCGGAGCCCTTGGTTTTCTTCATTTAGCCGCTTAACCTCATGACACAGGCATTTGTGAGAAGTAGCTAGCTCTGCCTGGGGACAGACCAAAGCACAAGGCAATGAGAAGGACAGGGTGTCTCCAGTTCCTGAGGCCAAACCCCAAGTCCCACTGCTGGACAGACTACCAGAAAGCCCTGGTTCTCTGGTCTGCAGAGAGAAGAAAACTCTTTATTGCCTTTCTCTGGTTCTTTTTTTTTTTTGGTCTTTTTTGAGACAGGGTCTCCCTGTAGCCCTACCTCACCTGGAACGCACTATGTAGACCAGGCTGGCCTTGAACTCTGCCTCCCAAGTGCTGGGTCTAAGGGCTTGCGCTACCACATCCAGCGCCTTCTCTGGTTCTAAGCCCTGCAGACTGTCCCTGCTGATACACTGGCAGCCATGGTCCATGACAGGCATTTCATCTAGGCTACATGCTTGTTCTGGTTTTGTTTTTGAGACAGGTTGGCATGATCTTTTCTCTTAGCCTCTTGAGTGCTAGGGTTATTGGCATGTGCTACATCTCATTTGTTTTTTGTTTGTTTTTGTTGAGGCAGGGTGTCATGTAGCCTAGGCTAGCCTCAAACTCACTGTCAGGGATGACCTTAAACTTCTGGTTGCTTTATATAGTGTTGGGAACTGAAGCCAGGTCTTGGTCCATGCTAGACAAGCACTTTTCCAGCTGAGCTATGTGTTCAATTCTGTAACATGTTATAAAAATTTATTTGTATTATTTCTTTTTACTATTTGAGTGTGTGTGTCCATCACATAGGTTCCAGGGATCAAACTCAGGTCATTAGGCTTTGTGACAATTGCCATTACCCACTAAGCCATCTTGCTGGCCCTGGTAATACACTTTTTTTAAGTCCTAAAGTAGTTGCCAACTTTAAAAACTAGGAAACAATGTACACATATCTCTGGGTACTCTTGAAAATCAGAAAGCATATCTGGCTACATGGAACCCATGTTTCCAGATGGGGTGGCCAGTGTTGCTAAGAACAGCAGTCCCCTTCTACTGGCCCCTCGTTTGCCAGGCTACCTTCCTGCCTCACTTCTGGCCCTGGTAGAGCTCTGATTTCCTTTCAGTGCTTCTGATTTCTGTTAGCTCAGTTTTACTGATGGTGAGGTAGACACTCTAAGGTTGTGGGGTTAGTTCAAGATCACACAGCTGTAGGCATGCTCAGGCTGCCTCCAAACGCTTTACTCACCTGGTACCAACACCAGAAGGCCAGAGCATCTGGAGGTGTAGAGGCAAGGACAGATGTCTTGACTGTCCACACACCCTCTAGGGCCTCAAGTAGTCCTGACCCTGAAGCCAGCACTCACCATCTGCAGTTGTACACGCTCCTGGGCCTGGCTCACCGTCCCCTGCAGGGTTCGAAGCAGCTGCTCCGAGTTCTCGACCTGGGCCAGGAGCACCTGCATCTGTGGTGGAAGGAGGGTAAGGTCAGAGGGCTGCTGAGGGGGCAGCAGGGGCCAGAGCTCTGTGGGGCTTCAACTGAGGCTGAACCCACCTGCTTGGCACAGTCTTCATTGCTCCGTCTCAATCCCTCTTGAAGCTCATCCCGCTCACGGCTGACACTTTCCAGGTCTTTCTGTAGCTGCTGCCCCTGCCAGACCCAGACTTCAGACTTATACCTCTGCAGGCAGGGGATGGTGCCTATTCTATCTTCCCTTTACCACCCCGTTGGTCCCTGAGCAAGCCCTGCTGCTTCTCCAAAGAGAAAGCCACCTTACTTTTCACCATCTCTGCTGCCCTCTTCTGGTACAGTCACATTTCTCCCCCTCCCCGCCTCCCCCTCTCTGCTAGGAATTAAACCCAGGGCCTTGCACATGCATTTTTCCCCATGACACTACCTTCTATGACATCTGTGTGCATCCTCTGCTGAGAAGGGACTTTTCCCTTCCCGCCAGCCTCTCCATTTTAGCATTAGTGCAGCCCCCTACATATGCAGGGAGGAGGGGATGCCCACAGGCCATAGTCCAGTCCACTTACCTCCACCTGCAGCTGCTCCCATTGGGTATCTGGGACAAGCTGGTACCCAGGAGGGGGCAGGTAGATGCCCTCAGGGACAAGGGTGCCTGTGGACACGAGAGAGGCTGTGTCTTCTTGCTCAGGGCTTAGGCCTTGGCGGCCCCGGGGCAATGAAGCACTGCTGCCTGCTCCACCAAGGGAGAAGGAAGAGATAGAGGCACTGTCATCACAGTTGTGGGCGAAGGCTTCGGCTGCTGGACCTGCATCTCCACTTGGCTCCTCCAGGGGCTCCAGTGGGGGTGAAGGGTTCCTTGACAGTGGCAGCAACTCTGTGGAGCCATGCAGGGAAGTGGCCAGCCGGGGTCGTCTCTAGGGAAAGGTGCAGGAAAGAGCTGTGAGCCAGAGTCTCAGGCATCGTTTCCTTGCTGGGACCCCTGACTGCCCCTCACCTGGATTTCTTGGATCAGCTCCTCTGCCTTTAGCAGCTTTGCCTTCAACTCAGCAATCTCCTGCTCCATGGGCAGCACAATTTCTCGAAGCTTCTCTGAGTCCTCGTGTGCCTGGAGAAATGGGGTACTGGATACTAACAGTCCCCTCCCTCCTGATCACTGGACCCCCAGGTCTACTCAAGGCTTTCTGAAGCCCACTGACTCTTCTACCCTCCCTGAGGGCACTGCCCATTCATTTGAGACAGCAGAACTCGGGTTCTGAGAGTTTCTACCACTTGGCCCAGGGCGGACCTAGGAAAAGGAGCCAAGGTCATAACTGTCTTCCTCCTGTCCATTCATTTACTGTTAATTTTTGCCCTGACATCCATCTTTTAAAAATATTTCTATTTATTCTTTGAGAACTTCATACATGTATTCAATGTGCTTTCATCAAATCCAACCCCCTCATCCCTCCCCTCTAACTCCTCCAAAATCTCTGCAGATCCATCTTTTCAGATCATCAAATCTCACTTTTGGTTGGGCACATGTCAGTTCTCCAGTAACATCCACTTCTCAGCTTCCCTGGGGCTAAAAGATGATCACACAATTTAGTTGCTCAGTGACAGCCCCATGGGACAGTAGGGGTTTCTAGCCAATGAGATATAAATACCTGTGCCATGTGTGAATTTCCAGCACAGTTCCTTAAAGGAAAGTGTGCCTATCTTTATACCTCTTTCTTGCTTGCTGGAGTGCAGATGTGACGCTTGGCACTCAAGCAGTCATCCTGAACCATGGGGTAATCTACTACCTATGGTCAAAGTGAATACTGAAGCCTAGATGCAAATAGCAACCTCTGAGCAAAGCTGTCAGTCAAAGATTCCTATCTTGGGTCCAATTTGTTTACTTTGATTTTTGATGTAGGGTTTCATACACCCCAAGCTGGTCTTGAACTCACCATGTAGCTGAGAATGACCTTGAGCTTCTGATCCTGCTGTCTCCACAGTACCAGGATTACAGGCATGTGCCACCACGCCTGGTTTTATGCAGTGCTGGGATCGAACCCAGAGCCTTGTGCATACCAGGCAAACACTCTACCAGCTGAGCTACATCCCCAGTCCTAAGCTCCTGTTTCGATTTTTGTCTTCACAACCAGAGGTAACTTACTCCATCTCATTTCCTCAGGTTCTACCTAAGTACCGAGCTTACAGTGCTACTGTGAGGATCAAATAAGGTAACAATGCACACTACTTGGAAAATGAAACATTTAGAAATACATGCTTCCTATTATTTATTTTTATTGTCTTAGAGATGGGGGTCTCTGTATCTCAGGCTAGCCTCAAACTCATGATCCTCCTGCCCAGCCTTCCCAGTGCTGAGATTACAGGTATGCACCATCACATGCTACTATTTACACACACACACACACACACATACTCTTTTAAGAGACCAGATCATTAGCTGGGTGTGATAGCGCACACCTATAATCCTAGTACTCCAGAGACTGAGGCAGGAGGACTCCTGCAAGTTAGCTTGGGCAATATAGCAAGACCCCGTCTCAATGAGAAAGAGAAAGAGAGGGAGAGGGAGAGGAAGAGGGAGAGGGACAGGGACAGGGACAGGGGTGGAGGCAGGGACAGGGAGAGGGACAGGGCAGGGACAGGGATAGGGACAAGGGCAGGGGCAGGGCGAGGGGCAGGGACAGGGACAGGGACAGAGGCAGGGACAGGGATGGGGCAGGGACAGGGATGGGGCAGGGACAGGGAGGAGAGAGAGAGACTGATATATTCAGGGTTTTACTATGTTATCCAAGCTGTCTTGAACCCTATCCTCCTGCTTCAGACTCCCAAATAGCTGGGACTACAGGTGCCTGCCACAGTGCTCAGCCTCCTGTTATTATTGATGATGAAAACAATAAAGGAAGCAATATGCCATAGGGGCCAAGTATCAAATCATTGGAATCAGCTGGGCATGGTGGCGCACACCTTTGGTCCCAGCACTTGGGAGGCAGAGGCAGGTGGATCTTTGTGAGTTCAAGGCCAGCCTGGTCTACGTAGTGAGTTCAGGTCAGCTGGAACTACAGGGAGGCCCTGTGTCAAAAAGACAAAAAACAAACAAACAAACAAAAAACCATTGGAATCCACTGCTGAGAAGTTGAAATCCCACCCTGCTACTTTTTATTTGTAGAAGCTGGAAAATCAGGAGCTTTTCCGAGTCCCACCTTACCCATCTGTTTAATAGGTCTGGCAGCACGCTCTCCCAGGGGCAGGCCAGCAGGACTGGGTCTGTTGAGCACTCAGCACAGTACCTAGCACAGGAGGTCCCCTTAAGGGTTAGTTTCCTTCCCCCACAGGACTAACCTTATTTCTAGAGGTAAATAAATCTGGTCACTACTAGCAAGGGACAAGCAAGGACCCTGCTAAGCACTCAACAATGGGGTGACTCCATGTCTACCTGGAGTCAGTACTGTGTCCAATGATAGGCAATAGGAAACCAACCATCAGTATCTTTCTAAATCCCAGGGGGTAAGGCATCCATCCTCCCCCAACCTTTTCCATCTGCTTCTCCAAGGAGTCCAAGGGGTGGGCCCGGGCCAGCAGCTGCTTGAGGTGGCCCAGCTCTCGCTCCTTCTCCTCACAGTCCTGCTGCTGCTGCTGCTGCTCCTGCTTCAGGGCCGCAATCTGGGTCTCGTAGCTGCTGATGGAGTCTGTGGGCAGGAAGGGTGGGTGCTTGGTGCTTGCCCTCTCCAAAGTGGTTAACTTTAACAGTCAAGGTGGTAAGCTGTGCAGGCATGGCCCTGGGCAAGAGCTCAGCACCTCTGTGCATTAGTGTCCTCAGTGGCAAAAGGGACTGGGATGGACCCTGGAGTGTGAGGATGAAGCAGCAAATAATAGGGACCAAATGGACAGTTGTGCTGTTCAAACGTATTCTAACTGAAGAATTGGTCCCTGGATATCTGTACTAAAACCAGCAGAGTATGAGGACCTGGGTTCTATCCCAGCACAGCAGAAAGGGAAAAAAAAAAAAAAAAAAAGGTAAAAATGTCACTTAGCAGGAGATTGTGTTCTGATATGCACAGTGAAAGGAAAGTAAAAGCGTTATTTCCTATTATTCATTCCATATAATTTCAACCAAATATGAGTCTGCCATGTTACCAGGAGGTAACTCGACACAGAAATAGATCATGCTGGCTAGCCTGTGGATGGTGGAAGCCAAGGACAGACTGAGTATCATGAAGTGCAGTCCATAAGTCAGAGTGAATGGTGGCTCTGGCTAATTGATACCTTGTGTGTGACTCAGCCAAATTGGGCAGAATGATCACCAACAATTTCCAAATAACCGACAGCTGGCTGATGGGTAGTATTTAGGGTCCACAAACCTTTACTTCCGTCTCTGGAACAGTGTGATATTATACTTGATTTTGTGGCTAAAAGAGGACTTAGTTTATAATCAGGGATTTAGACCACTAAGATGATCAGGTACAGTTCAAGGTCATGCTTGTACATCCTGTGGCAGAAATTGCAGACCTTTACCACAGCATGGGCTGAAACTTCTGTAATGGCAGTTGTCACTTTTCTATGTGACCCTTGCAGGGGCAAACAGTTCAACTGAAGAATCAATTGTGGAGGTATAAGCCTGCAATCTCAGCACTGGGAGACTGAGACAGGAGGAATACAAGGTTGACTCAGTTTAAGCTACATAGTAAGACCCTGTCTTAAACAAAACAAAACAAATACCAAAAAAGTAGGGCTGAGGTGATGGCTCAGTTAGTAAAGTGCTTGCTATACAAGTATGAGGACCTGAGTTCAGATCCCAGGCACCCACACAAAACCCAGGCACAAGAGTGTGTGCCTATAATCCCAGCGCTGAGGAGGCAAAGACAGGAGGATCCCTGGGCCTGCCAGTCTGGCTGAGTCAGGGAGCTCCAAGTTCAGTAAGAGACCCTGACTCAAAAAATAAGGTACAGAGTGACTGAGGAAGACACTTGATGTTGACCTCTGGCCTCCACATGCAAGTGCACAAATGCATGCACACCTGTTCACACATGCATGTACACACACACACACACAGATGTACAAACATAAAAAAGAAAAACTGGAAGAACCTGATCTGCAGAATCACAACCTGTCCAGTATTCATGTAATGAATGCTGAAGACCTGATACTTATTCCTATTAATATATGCCTGGAATAATCAATATTTGATAACAGGCTCTATAAATCAGACACAGAGCCAGGAGCTCACAGTCCAGTGAAAGTACCATGACAACAGATGGGACCACTCTCTACTCCCTAGGTATGGGCCCCAGAGAAGGAACCACATTGTATAGGCCTGGCCAGGAGGGGGCGCTGGCATGAGATGAAGAGGACAGAAAGAATAGGACCAGCATGCATAGACAGGCTCAAGGTGGGAAAGTGGCTGGTCTATCTGGGCATGTTGGCACCTCATAAAAGCCAAAAAAAAGGGTGCTCAAGGGATGCCAGGAAGGGTGGAGAGGGTGATAACACATGGATCTTAAAGCTTTAAAGAGACATGGAAAATAAGCTATGGATTAGTGGCAGGTAGAAGTGAGGTTGGTTAGAAATGAACACTGTGTATTTACACAGGTATTTACTTACTTTTATTTTGTTTTTTTCAAAACAGATCTGGAACTTGAGATCTTCCAGATTCTACCTCCCAAGTGCTGGGATTATAGCATGCACCACTATGCCTGGCTGGTGTTTAATTAATTTGTTATCTTCTTAAAAAATTGAGTACTTTTAGCCAGGTGTGGTGGTACACTCCTTTAATCTCAGCACTCAGGAGGCAGAAGCAGGTGGATCTCTGAGTTCAAGGCAAGCCTGGTCTACATAGTCAGTTCTAGGTCAGCTGGGGCTACTGGGAGACCCTGTTTCAAAAAAAAGGTCCAGCCCACCCGTGCCAGCCCTGGCTAAGCCGGACCTGAGCAGGCTTCCGGCGTTTGAAAAAAAAGGCAAGAACAAAAAAGAAAAATTGAGTACCTTTGCCAGCATGTATGTAATTGCACCACATGGTGTGCAATGCCAGCAAAAGCCAGAAGAGGATGTTGGAGCCCATGAAACTGGAGTTACAAACAGTTGTTACCTTTTATGTGGGTGCTGGGAATTGAACACAAGTCCTCTGGAAGAACTGCAAGAACTGCTGAGCCATCTCTCTAGCCCTATTTATTTATTTCTAAATTTATTCTTTATGGGCCAGCAAGATGGCTCAGTGTGTAAGGGTGCTTGCCACAAAGTCTGACGATCTGCGTTTGATCTCTGGAACCCACATGACAAATGAAGAGAATCAACTTCCACAAGTTGTCCTTTGACCTTCATATGCACACTGTGGCACATATGTGCACACACATACAAATGTAATAAAATATGTTTTTAATTAATTTTGTGTGTATATGTGTACTTTAGGGTGTAGGTGCATGTGGCATGTCTTGCATGTGGAGGTCAGAGGACAACTTGAGGGAGTTGACTCTTTCCTTCTACCATGTAGATTCCAGGGACTGAACAAAGGTCATCAGACTTGGTGGCAAGCATCTTTACCCACTAAGCCATCTTAACTGGTCCTAGCCCGTTATCTTAACATTTGCTAAAATTATATGCAAAAGTTGCTGGACTGGTTGGGTTCAGATCTGCTGCTTTGTAGCTATATGACATTGAGCAAGTTATTTAACCTGTCTGGGCTCTGTACTTCCTCTGAAAAATGAGAAAGAGAATGGCAGTTCCTACCTCAATGAATCTGTTATGAAGACTAGATACAGCCAAGCATGGTGGCTCACACTGCTAATGCTAGTACTTGGGAGGCTGAGGTAGGAGGGCTGCCTTGAGTCAAGTTCATCCTGGACTACAAAAGGAGTTCCAAGTTAGCCTGGGCTACAGTGTGAGACACTGTCAGAAAAGAAAACCAAAACAGGGCTTAGGATGTAGCTCTGCTGGTAGGGTGCTTACCTAGTATGCACAAAGCCCTGGGTTCCATTCCTAGTATTGTGTAAAACTAGGTTTGGTGGTGCATACCTGTAATCCCACCACTTGGAGGTAGAGGATCAGAAGTTTAAGGCTGTGCTAGTGAGATGGTTCAGTGGGTAAAGGTGCTTGGCACACAAGCCTGGTGACCTGAGTTCAATCTCTGGAACCCATATAAAGTAGTAAGAGACGGCAAGGCACAGTAGCACACGCCTTTAATCACAACACTCGAGAGGCAGGTGAATCTCTGGGAGATCAAAGTCAGCCTGCTCTACATATGGAGCTCCAGGCCAATTGAGGCTACAGGAAGACCCTGTCTCAAAACAAGCAAACAAAAAATAAAAACAAAAGGTAGAGAGAACTGACTCATCAAAGTTGTCCTCCATATGTGCACCAAGGCATATATGCCCCCCCATCACACACACACATAAACAGACCTTATTTCATGCCAGGCGTGGTAGCGCATGCTTTTAAAACCAGCACTCGGGAGGCAGAGGCAGGCAGATCTCTGTGAGTTCCAGGCCAGCCTAGTCTCAAAAATAACACAAACACACACACACACACACACACACACACACACACACAAAGACCTACCTCAAAAAATCAAAACCAAACAAACATTACTTAATAGAGCATTTAGTTGTGTCTGGCATATGGTAAGTAGCCCTGTAGCCCCAGCTGGCCTGGAACTCACTAGGTAGACCAGGCTGGCCTAGAGAGATCCACCTGCCTCTGTCTCCCAAGTACTGGTATTAAAGGCGTGCGCCACCATAACTGGCCTGTTCTATTATTTTTATGTGTATGAGTGTTGTTGCCTCCATGTATGTAAGTGCACCCATGTTGTGTAATATCCAAGGAGGCCAGAAGAGGGTGTCGGATCCTCTAGAACTGGGGTTACAGATGGTTGTTAGCCATGTGGGTGCTGGGAACTGAATCTGGATCCTCTGCAAGAGCAGCCAGTGCTCTTAACTGTTGAGCCATCTCTCTAGCCCCCTTTATTGTGTATGCATGTACATTTGTAGACCATGTATGTGAGGGTCAGCAGTGACACTGGGTGTCTTCCTTAGTTGGTCTCTACCTTATTTTTATTTATTTTTATTTTTTTATTTAAATATTTTATTACTTTTATGTGTATGAGTGTATTGCCTGCATGTATGTGAGTGCACCCATGTTGTGCAATGTCACAGAGGTCAGAAGAGGGCTTCAGATTCCCCTGGAACTGGAGTTAAGGAGGGTTCATAGCTGCCATGTGGGTGCTGGGAACTGAACCCGGGTCCTCTGCAAGAGCAGTCAGTGCTCTTAACTGCTGAGCCATCTCTCCAGCTCCTATTTTTATTATTTTTATTTTATGTGTATGAGTATTGCCTGCATGTGTGTGAGTTGCACCTGTGTCACACAATGCTCAAGGAGGTTAGAAGGCATGGGATCCCCTGGAACTGGAGTTACAGACTGTTATTAGCAGCCATGTGGGTGCTGGGAATCAAACCTGGGTCCTCTGCAAGAGCAGTCAGTGCTCTTAACTGCTGAGCCATCTCTCCTGCCCTCTACCTCATTTTTTGAGGCAAAATCTCTTAACTGAATCTGGAACATTCCATTTTGGCTAGAATGGCTGGCCACCAAGTTCCCAAGACCTGCTAACCTATGACCCCTAGAGCTGGGGTTACAGCTGCATGCCCAGCATGGTGAGATGGAAACTTTAGGTAGTTTACTCTAGAAGCCAGTGTCGAGACCAGACCACAGAGGGAGATCTCCGAGATGGCAGCAAAAGTTCAAGAGCGCTGACCATAATAAACTACAGTAAGGGCACAGGGTAGGGGCAGAACTGATGTCCTTTAAGAGACTCTGGCCTCTGCCTAGAGGAGAGGGCCAGAAAATAGCAAAATAAGTTTGAGGAGTAGGGATCAGGGAAATTGGTGCCTATTAAGCACAAGAGACCATGAGGAGGAGGAAGGGAAGGAAGGAGATGCCTGTATTTGTAGAGGGTGCTGTTGGGAGTGCCTGGGAAGGAAGGAAACCAGAGAGACTAGGCTGAGTTCATAGCCCAGACACCCAGACTGGTTCAGGGAACCAGTTTCTGGCTCATATTCAGGGTTGATTTGTCACCAGTGAGAGACAAGAAATGACAAGAGTGAGGGAACGGGTAGAGGATGAGAGCAACACTTAGGTGTGACTGACAGAGCTGCTGACATCACATGTGGTATCTCTGCAAAGTGGGAAGAGGTTTCCCAAACACTGAGCCATAGGCTTCTCTGCTGAGCAGCCTTGCTGCGCTCAATACTGCACTCCCTTATGGACTGAAGGAGGGTCTGGGGGTGGCCACCTCACCTTTCAGGATGGCTTGCAGGGAAGCCACCTCCTCTTGGCACTGCCGCCGCACTGCAGCCACTGCCTCGGCCTTGGTACTCTCGCTTACCTCCGCCACAGCCTTCATGGTTTCCATTTCTGCCAGTGCGCCGGCCAGTTCAGCACGAAGCCGGCCGAGCTCACCTGAGTCGGCTTCAAACTTTCTCCCCTCTTGGGGCTGGTGGTCCAGCGCTGTGGGGGGCAAAGATAAACTTTTCTTCCCATCCTTCGCTGGACTCTAACACCACAGGCCCACCGGCTCCGCCACGGATCGAACATCTCGGTCCTACCCGCGCGGGGCCCCATCCCACCCACCAGGCCCTGCCCCTTCCCGGCCTCCTTCCCACCCGCGCGGCCCCAGGTAGCGAGCATAGCCCAATTCGTCCAATCCCCTTTCTTCTAACACCACCCTCCCTTCCAACGGCCCCGCCCCTCCACTGCCCAGCGCGCTCT